ACACGTACGTACATACATACATACATACATACATACATACATACATAAATACTTTCTATTAAGAAAATAGAAAAGAGATGATTGAACTGAATGTGTTTTTAAAAATTAGAAAACCTTGGGGCAGCTAGGTGGTGGAGTGGATAGAGCGCTGGCCTTGGAGTCAGGAAGACCAGAGTTCAAATCCGGCCTCAGACCACATTTGACACTTACTGACTGTGGAAGTCATTTAACCCCAATTGCCTAAAAATAAATTTTAAAAAAGTAACAGAGAAAAAATTAGAAAGCCAACAAAATAAAAGAGGAGACACAAATTAAAATTAGAGGAGAAATAGGTTAATTAAAAAAACCTGGAAATGTAAAAAACAAAACAAAGGTAGATGAGAAAGAATCAGTGAAGGGGGAGAGGTTGCAGATGCATAAAAGAGGAAGAGAGTTTGGAGTCCTCAGGGGATAGGCTTAAGGGTTACAAGTAGAGGGATTAACCTTTATTGAGGAATAGTGAGTATTTTTCACCTGAGATGAGGGAGGAACAGAAAATGTGTGGTGATGCTGAGTTTTTTGAGGAGGACCTCCCATCGGATTAAGTGCTCACTTTTCTCAGTGTGGACTGAGTCATCTGCTCCAGGTGGTCTGGAGAGAATCCTGAGCATGGGAGTCATCAGAAAGATGGTAGTCACTATCAACAGTGATAGTGAAAGCTATTGGAATCGCTGGGATCATCAAAGGAGGTTATATAGGGAGAGGAAGGCTGGGGTAAATACCCACTTCATGAAACTGGGAAGATAACTAGGAGCCATTGGAGGAGTGGATTAAGAGGAGGAGAACTTGTGTGAAGTGACTTCTCTGAAGGAAAGAATATCCAGATTGAAAACTCCTCTTTCTCCTTTGATGGCTGTTAGGCAGTAGCAGAAGGTTTGAAAAAGCTACTGAAGAGAGTGAAATATAGTGAGGAGTCAGTAAAAGTAGAGAAGTAAGAGCCCAGTCCCCCAGCTAGGAATCAGATTCTTAGCATATAAAGCCAGTCCATTTTCATGCTTTTTGTAATATTTGGGTTTTAGCCGCTGGAGTCTTTTTACAAACTTGGTGATGTCATCTACTCCTACATCTTCCACTACCATATACTTAGAAGCACAGCTTAAAAGCATCATGGAAGCAGGAATTGTACTCTATTTACTTTGTCTCTAACTCAGTTTGGAATATTGGGACAGAATTTTTTTCAAAGGTAATCATGACAATAATGCCATTTTATTCTTTTTTTACTTTATTTTTAAAAATTTTTTATTAATTTATTTTGATTTATCAACAATCACTTCCATTTGCTTTTAAAATTTTTCTTCCCCTTCCTCCCCATCACCCTCGCTAAGACGGCACACAATCTGATATAGGCTATACATTTACATTCCTATTAAACTTATTTTCATATTAGTGATGTTGTAAGTAAAAATTAGAACCAATAGGAGGAAACAAAACTCAATAGAAGAGGAAAAAAAATAGCAATTCAACTTCCATAGTTCGTTCTTTGGATTGGATAGCATTTTCCATCACGAGGCCTTTGGAGATGTCGTAGATCCTTGTATTGCTAGGAAGGGTTAAGTTTATCAATATTAGTCATTGCACAAGGTGGCCGTTACTGTGTACAACATTCTCCTGGTTCTGCTCACTTCACTCAGCATCAGACTATACAAGTCTTTGCAGGTTTTTTCTGAAGTCAGCCTGTTCATCATTTCTTATAGCACAATAGTATTCCATCACATTCATATACCACAACTTGCTCAGCCATTCCCCAATTGATGAATGCCATTTTATTCTTAACTGTCCTAGGACTGGCTTTTGACTTTATCTGTTACCATGTGTTATTAAATTCAATATGTGATCCTGTGTTAATTTTAGAAATTGATGATTCAGAACAAGTTAGAAGATTTGATACTTTACTATTATTTCCCTAGGTTTCCTTTATTACTTTAAGACCATGAGTTTCTTTTATGTTGAGAAAGTTCTACTGAACCATTGATGTTGAGCTAATATTAGTTGTACTGACAGACATTAAAGTGTTTACCTCCTCAAAGAATTCAAGAAATAGAACAAATCAATAGAAACTTGTTGACTGCTTACAATTTGCAAGGCTTGCACTCAGTGTTTCTATCACTAAACAAAGAGTTTGATAATCTGTCTCTAGGCATTAGTGTTTTGGAGTTGAGGGCATTTTATCATCTGATAGAATGGTCCAGGAAGGAATAGTTTTTCAGACTCTTCTGAAAATTATTTTATTAGCTAACATACTAGGAAAGACCCAAGTGATTAGTTACATGGCATTATAACTTGAAAAAAAAAAAAAACAGGCTTCCCATCATCACGGGACGCAGGAAAGGTCACGAAGACCAACCCCACAGTTTTGAATATATATAGAATATATTTTGAATATATATATATATTCTGTTCATCATTCATTTATATAAAACCAACAGAAAGGATTCCTGATCAATCTAAAATACACATTCATTGTTCCTGTAAAGAGGATAACTGAAACTGGAGAGTTATATCAACATGTAGCTGATTGTGAGTAAATACCTAAATTCCTCTTTCTTGTCCTTACAGGCAGCAAGTGGAATCTATAATTTGCCAGAGAGCAGTCGACAGTTTTTATTCTATTTTTAAGGAACAGCTTATTAAAATTGTAAGTTTTATTGACATGAAACCACCATTTCTGAATATGAGTTGTTGAAATATGTAACCATTTTATCTTGTTCTTTAGACCAGGGGCTAGACTGTCCCTGTTGTTCAGACATGCCTATGGCCTATGAGAGACCAGTATGGCCATGTGTTCCATGCTAAAATAACAATAAAAGTACAAACATTTCTAGTTTTGAATGTTGAATGTAAATGTTTTTTATCATGTGTAGCTTTCAGAAGTCCAGAAATTGAAAAACTTCAAAAGGAAGAATGCTAAGGTAGGTCACTTGTGATTTGTGATGTACACTTTTATAAAATAATATGAAGAGTAGTAATAATAACAACAGTAACAAACATTTATATTATGCTTTAAGCTGAGCAGAGTCCTTTACATATAGATTAGCTCATTTGGTCCGTACAACAGGCCTTGGAAGTCGGTGCTATCATATATTGAGCCAGACAGAAGTGAAATGACTCGCTTAGGGTCACAGAGCTATTCAGTGTCAGAGGCAGAATTGAAATTCTGGTCTTCCTGACTCTAGGTCCAGAACTCATTCATTCATCACCTAGCTGCCTGAACGATTCCTCACAACATTGCAGTGTTCACGTTAGTCTTAAAGAGGAAGAAACCTTGAGTTTCTGGACTAGGAGTCAGAAGACCTGTATCTGAATTCCAGCTCTCCTGCTTACAAGATATGTGTTACTGTTGTTCAGTCACTTTCAGTCACGTACAACTCTTCATGAACTCTTTTGGGGTTTTCTTGGCAAAGATACTGGAGTAGTTTGCCATTTCCTTTTCTAGTTCTGTTTACAGATGCTGAGACTGAGGCAAACAGGGTGAAGTCTTCCTGATGCTAGGTCCGGAACTCTACCCACTGTACCACCGAGCTGCCCTACTAGGTGTGTGACCTTAGACAGGTCACTTTATCTGGGCCTGTTTCTTCATCTGTATAATGAGGACACTAATATTTGCACTACACATTGATTATCAAATGAGACAAGTCACATTTCTGTATTGGTTTGAATTCCAAAAGCCTGCCAGGATTGGACTCTCGTCCTGATTCCACATGGGATCATCTAGATTTACACCTGGAAGGGACTTGAAGGTGGTTGTCCTTTTAAAGACCAGAGCGGTCCCTCCTGTGCTAAGTGACAGCCCTTTCTAATAAGACTTTTGATTCCTTCATGCTCTTCCTGCTGAGCCATGGATGGCTAACATCCTAACAGTAGTCTTCTTGGCTCATCTCTCCATTCTCTCTAAGGCCTCTTCTAACCACAGAGGCAGGGTGGTTAGAAGTAGAGAGAGCCCTGCTTCTGGAGTCAGAGGACTTGAGTTCAAATCCTATTTCAGATATTTACTACTTGTGTGAATTGTCAACAAGCAATCACAGTGTCACAATATGTATGTGAAAAGCAGGTTTATTATGAGATAAATGAATGTGCACTTCTGTAGAACCCAAAGAGTTCATAATCCTTACAGAAGTTTGCATAGTTATGGCCATGCAACAAATGGAGGAGAAAACACACATTTCCATCTAAAGGGGCATGGCACGGGAAGGGAAAGGTGTAGTACGGGTGGGCAAAGGATGAAACCCCCTTCTAAAATGGAGGAGCAAGGTGATGGCAAAAGCCACATTCTTTTCCCTAGGGAAAAGATTATGAAGCTAGATTATGAAGGTAGGAGGGTCCGCTTATTTGCAAAGGACCCCAGTTGTGCAACATTTTCCCAGTCTGGCACAGACTGGACCGTCCCTGTCTTACCTCAGGAGGACACACAGGGGATCCAGTTTGGGGTGCAAATAACATTATGCCAGTGGTGGGGAGGTTTGTCCTTGATAACACACATTCATAGCATCCTGCATGCTCTGGGTCCAGTCTGAGTCTTTCCAAGATAACATGCTGTTCTGCTTGGGGCAGGTGGATGGTCAAGTGGCTAGACTGTAGGGCCTGGAGACAGGAAGACCTGGGGTCAGATCAGGCTTTGAGCACTCACTAGCTGTGTGACCCTAGATAAATCACTTCACCTGTTTGCCTCAATTTCCTTATATCTAAAATGGGGATAATAATAGCATCTACCTTTCAGGGTTGCTGTGAGAATCTATTAAGATGATTACTGCTTAGCCCAGTGCCTGGCACACAGTAAGCACTATATAAATGTTAGCCATCATAATAATAATATTATGAGTACTTAAAGCTCTATATAAATATAATATGGTGTTGTAAATGGTGATGGTAATGATTACTGTATTATTTAGGTGATTAGAGATATAAATAAGAAAAGGAAGTGTTTGTTTGAAGCCCAAGACCAACTAATTAGGTAAGTAATTCAAAGGATTTTAGCACTGAAAGGTCTAGAGCAAGGGTGGGGAACCTGCAGCCTTGAGGTCATATGTGGCCTTCTAGGCCCTCAGTTGCAGCCCTTTGACTGAATCTAAACTTCACAGAACAAATCCCCTTAATAAAAGGATTTGTTTTTTAAAACTTGAACTCAACCAAAAGGCTGCACCCAAGGACCCAGCAGGCCACATGTGGCTCCGAGGCTGCAGATTCCCCACCCTTGGTCTAAACGAATCCTTCTCTTTACAGATGCAACATCTGATTGAGGTTTAGAGAGGTTAGAGGCTCACTGGGGCTACATGGTTGTAAGACCCAGCTTTACAGTTAACCTAGAAAAGCTTCCATCAGCGATGTCCATAGGTGCCCAGCATGGCGCTCTCTTGCTGCTTTTCACTGACTCAGAAGCCCAACGGTGTCCATTTCACAGGGAGGGCCGGTGGGTCCCATCTTGCCTCTTCCCAGCGTGGCTGAGGGGCACCATATGGGATGGGCTTCGGAGCTCTCACCTGTAACAAAGAAGTGGATGCTTTGGTTGGGTCTGATGTAGGGAGAGGGTGACGTAAGGCACGGTGGGGCCGTAGGCTGGGCCTGCCCTGACTGTCAGGCCAGCAGACATTAGGCATTGTGAAGGGCACATTAAATCATTTCTTCAACCCATGTGTATTTGGGTGCCTACTTTGTGACCAGGACTGTGGGGGATGCTAAAAAAGGAATGAGATGAGTTGAAATCTCTTCTTGGTTGGCTCTGAAAGGTCTTTATAACTCGGCCACTTCCTCTCTTTCCAGTCTGTTTACACTCAAGTCCCTTCTCCCTTGCATGTGACCCTCCAGCCTCAGAGGTCTGTGTGCTTCCCCAGACTTGGCACGTCTCCCCTCCTCACCTGTCTCTCCTGGCTTGCTTTAGGTCTCGGCACAAATCCCACTTCCTGTAGGTTTTTCCCCATGAGATTACCCCTCATCTCTACTATATATCTTGTATGTACAGTTATTTGTGTTGTCTCCCCCATTAGAGTGAGCTTCTTGAGGGCAAGGACTGTTTTTTTTTAACCTTTCTTTGTATCCCTAGTGCCTAGCATGGTGCTTGGCACGTAGCAAGTGCTTAATAGATGCATTTTGATTAACTGATCAACTTCAGGGGAGGCCAGAACAGAAAACAGTTACAGAACCATATAAGAAAGATAAAAAGGAATAGAATTGTAGACACCTGGTCAGGTATCTTCCTATTATAGGTGACGTTGTGGCCCAGGGTGATACAGAGTAAAGATTAGGTCCTCGGCTCTCCTGACTCCTAATCTGGTGACCTTTCTCAAGGTTCCCCTTCATGAAGGTCACATGTTTGGAAGTTGGCCTTAAAGAGCCTAGTTTTAATATGAGATTTTGCT